CATTTGTAGATGAGCCACATCGTTGTCCAAAGTCTTTCACAAATAACCTGAAATAAACACTAAAAAGAATAGTATTCACCCTGAAAATGTTCTAAGAAATATTGACAGCACCTTAGTGCTTTAGACATGAAAGACATTGAACAAACATGAGAACCTTCCATCTTTTTTCTCATTTATACCACACTTATGACTGCGCTCACTTCCTTTTGGGTCCTGTATGGACAACTTTTATGAAACATGTTAGTATGCAACATGTAATTCTTTACATTAGTGTGCATATATAGTATCCTGGCTAAAGCATGTGTTGTGTGTTTAGATGGATTCACATTCCTGCAAAAGACCTTAGTTTAAACAACCGCGTTAAATTTATTACCGTATTTTCCGCACTATAAGGCGCACCTAAAAACCTTCAATTTCCTCAAAAGCCGACAGTGAACCTTATAATCCGGTGCGCCTTATATATGGACCAATATTGAGCCACAGCAGGTCTAGCAACGGACCTTTCCACAGGGGCCGCGTTTCATTGGCTAATGCCCATTTTACGTCACAGCGCAGCTTCCACGTGCGTGACCGTCTCACAAACCCAAGCTACAGTAGTAAACACATGCTAATGTACATTGTGGACCATCAAAACCATGAATGCCGACTTACCCAGCCTTGCAACAACAGTAGGCATCAGTGATCTTGTCCACAGCTATATTTATGCTGAGGGTGTGAGGATCTGCTGTTTTCCTCATCTATCGGTAGCTTTTAGCTGTGACGCGCACAATGTTGGAGGCATCCGCTCAAACACCTTGATGTCGTCCAAAAAAGATGACATGAACTTGTTGGTTCCCCTGTCCATTGTCGTGGCTGATATGTTGTGAAAATCCGGCAGAAATGCTACGCTAATTAACTCAGATCGAAATGAAAGACGTATTAAAGACGTCATGTTTACACAGACATGCAGTAGGCTGCTTAGTAGTTGGTCCACTACTTTAAGCAGCCGCCAACTTATTTTTCCCCCTTAGAAGAAGTGCGCGGTGCATGCTGGGATAGTTGTCAGAACGCTGGTTTGTTAATAAAGTTTGATAATACATTTAAAGCCAGGGGGGAGGGGCAGGGGAAGAAAGACAGAGACTGCAGCGGCAGCGTGTCGGTTGGTCTGTGTTACCCAGAAAGCAGTTGGGCATAATATCGCAACACCAACACCGTGAGTGAAACAACGACTGGGTCAGCCTACTATATAAAGTACTCGGGGACCATTTTTTTCAATAGAGTCTATTCGCCTTATAATGCTGTGCGCCTAATATATGAAAATAGGTCATTCATTGAAGGTGTGCTAGTGCAGAAAATACGGTACTAAATTCACCTGCTGCCATTTAAAACCCTCAGTCAAATGATGCATTTCCTTTCAAAATATAACATTAAAAGCCATGTGAAAGCTATTTTCAGTAGACCTGATTTTTGGTGTCTTCTAAAAAAATAATAATAATAAAAGGAACAGTCACGCAGTTTCGGCCTGACCAATCACCAGGACATCTGGTTGGACTGGTAGTTAAAATCTTCATGGTTTATAAGGCCGTAATGCATTTCAGAGATGCTACATAAACCATGCTTACCACTCGGGTCTTTTGAGATCTGCTCACCCAGGACTTCCTGGTGAGGCAGCATTTAGTTTCAGTGCCACTCAGTTCTGGAACAAACTTCCTGAAAACCTGAGATGTGCAAAAACTGTAGACTCTCGGGAGGGAGAACTATACAGTTTACTGCAGCTTTTTCATAAAAGCAAGCAACTGGTCCAAAAGGTTCTTACCTGTTTTAAATAAGTGCAATATTGTGTGTGATGCTCGAACTTTTAAAATTGTTTTCATGTGTGATGTGTTTTTAGTGTTATCCTCTGTAAAGCAAATGGACGTGATTATGCACAAAAACTAGCCTTGTTTACATATTTTGTATTAACAATGCTCTGTATTGGAACCAGAAAAAGAGCAAAGTGAAATGTAAGTGAAAATTAGAAAAACAAACAAACAAACAAAAAAAACAAGTTTAAACTTCACAAACCTTCATCATGTTCTGATCAAGGTGAAATGATCAAAGTTTATATGTCTTTGATCTGCCCAGTTCCTCACCAAACCTTTCAGGAACCAGAATCCCACCTGACGCGCATCAACATCTCTTATCTTGTGATGAAAAAAGCTTGTGCGGCGCACACAGCTAAACAATATTTCACTTCCAGGTTCCAGGTCTCATTTGAAGAGATCACATCGAGACATGAAAGCACTCCTTTTTTTTTTCACCCCCTTCCTTGTGTTCGACCCCACTCATGTTGGCCTGAAGCGTCGATCCTCTGATGGTGGTAAATGAGTTAGAGACAATCCAAGTCTTGGGTAAATGGAGTAGTGAGCTGTTAATGCTGCTCGAGTGGTTGTAACAAAGCACTGAAGAGACATAAAACACAGAAATCGAAAGAAAAGAAAACGGAAAGAGAAAACACACCACACTGTCTAAGAGATGTGGGATGACCGGAGATAAGCACAGGCAGCACATTAAGCAAGACGCTCAGAACAAGAGACAAGAGAAAGCAACATGTGCTTCAACCGAACTTCCTTCACTTTTAGTGTGCAACTTCTAACAGCAGTTGTTAGACAGTAGTCATGATTATCGTGGCAATATCTAGCCTAATTAAGCATCCCACGATAAATTATGGTAATGTATCAGTTGAATAACTTTTCTCCTCTCATAAGAGGTTAGCAGTTTTTAATCTTGCCCAATTAACACATTAAACAAAGCGCTACAGAACCGAGCAGCACTGGAGCAAATGAGCCCACCAATCTAATTGGGAATTAATGAATGCTTTAAAGTGCCAGCAGCCAGTGCAATTGTAATTCAAAACAAGACAAAATTAATCACAACAATTTGTGGGAGAGAAAGTTAGCATTAACATAATTGAGGCAGAGAGAATAAAAAGGCCATGGCGGCGCAAGTAGAGCACATCTCATCAGTAATCTTCCACTGAGGAAATTGTTTGTTATTCCTATTAATTATCCACTATACTTAATCACCCAAATTGCAAGTGAAAATAATGATTTGCCTTTTGCTTCAGCTTTTATGTCACAGAAGACAAACTGCCCAAGCGCGCTCATTGGTGGGTGGGAGAAGGGGTCAGCAGCAGAAGTGCAGCTAAACCCCGACAAGATGAGCAGACATTGACTGAAACAAAGCTGCATGTGTTCAGTGTGTCCTGTAAAAGTATTCATAGCCACAAAACTCTTTCATATCTGATCACGTTGCAGCCACTGATCTGAGAGGATTTATGTGAGAGATCGGCATAAAATTCTGAAATTACTAATTGCATGAAGTTTGGATGATGTCTAAAATTTTGTGACTTCTAATTTCAAATTATTTAGATTTCACCTATGTGTAATTTAATCTTAGGGAAAATCCAGATGTTTGCTGAAAGCCGCAGAGGCTTGTTGGAGAACATTAGTGAACAACGCCAAGTAACATGTAAGACGGGTCACAGATAAAGCAGGGTGGGTTTAAAACAAACAGACAAAAATATTCCAATCTTTGAACATCCCAGAGAACAAATAGAAAGATTACGGCTCAGTTTCTGACCTACAAATGCATGACCGTCCACCTATTCTGAGGATTAAGCAGAGGTAAGATGCCCATAATAACTCAGGTGGCCTGAATAGAACTGCACAAAACATATGCGGTCTTTATTTGAAAAACAAACACAAAAATAAAAGCCATTTATCATTTCACTTCTACATTTACGCACTTCTTTGTGTTGATCTATCACATAAAATTCTAACAAGGCTTCAAGATTTCTGGTTCTAATGTGTCAAGGGGTTTGAATACTTTTTTTCTTACACTACGAATGTCAAATCATCTCAAGTTTTAACAATGTTTTTTTTTCCCTCTCATTATTTTCTTAACTTCCCTCTGAGCGAGATGAGTAATATGCTTTTGCAGACCTCGGTTATTGCATGAAAAGGCATAAAAATATCCAATTCACTGGCGGTGATGCAGTCTGCTGTGTATCTTTAGTCCTGAACAAGCAGCAACATTTATCCTGGACACGGGCATAATTGTAATGATGCTGGAAAAGAATGTATCTGTTGCTTTCAGAGCATCTGTTGCCAATGCCGGCGCGATGGCATTAGCAGCAAAATGCCATGGAACATTAACTGCTCCCAACAGAACTTCCAGATGGATTTTTGTTCTAATGGCATCATTATACGCTAAATTAAAAGGCGAGCAAATGGAAGTGTAAAAATTTAAATGACTCGGAAAAAAAATCTCTCAAGCTCAAGCTGTCTTTAGCGGGGGCCTCCGACAGAGAGATTGTGAGCCGAGCCGTGCAATGAGCGTTAATCATACACATATATAAAATAGTAATGGTGAAATGAATTGTGCAGTGGGATGGCGGTACACATTAGGCTGTTATGTTTAACGCAACAGCTAAGTCTGAAACGACTGCTTTATGGACAAAGGTTCATCTGACGTCTCACTTCCTCTAGTTAATTTTGCTTTGATGTATTCCCCATTTCAGTGTTAAGATTTTATGGAAATATTTCTATTTTTATGCTTTGTTGACAGCGGCTTAAGATGATTCGTAGATTCTCTGTGTGCGGAATACAAACGGATTTCAAGCCACCGCTTCCAGCTCTGGTTCGTTGTTATTTTTTGAGCTATCAGTAAAGCGAAAAACCTGATATATGATGTATTATAAATATTTCTTTTGCGTACCAAAGGGAGCCATTATTCACAGAACACTTTGTTCTTTTATCCTAATGCTAGTTAAAGTTAGAAAGTACTGACTGCTCTGCTGGTAGCAAAATTAGAGCAATTTTGTACCCAGCATTGTGACATTGTGATATTTCAGTGTTTATGTTTTCAAAAGATGATGTAATACCTGGACGTTGTTCCGACACACCCAGGAAAATGTTTGAAAAAACAAAGTTGAGATTTTCCCTTTCATATACAGGTGCTGGTCATAAAATTAGAATATTGNCCATGCTTCCTTCTAACTAACTGTATTTGTCCAGGAGCATGGATTTTGACAGGGGGGTTGAAAGAGGGTGTTTCCCGCTGTGTAGGAGAGGCTGTGAAAGACCATGGGGCTGCAGCTTCAGCTGTGTCCCAGAAAAAAGTCATTGCGATTGGAGTGACGCCTTGGGGTCTGGTACACAACAGACAGCAGCTTGTCAACGCCCAGGTACTGAATCTATTGTGTTTTGTTCCACTGCAGAGTGTGAAGTGTCTAATGTTATAAACCTCAGCATGAAAACAATGGCTTTGGTAACCACTGGATTCTTGTGTTGCCGGTCTGAAGGGAAGTTTCCCAGCTCGCTACTATGTCCAGAACACAACACATGATACATACTGTTTGGACAACAGCTGCCAAGCTTTCCTCTTAGTGGACAATGGGAGTATTGGCCAGCGAGGTGGAGAGGCAGTCTTTCAAGTTAATCTGGAGGACTACATTTCCCATCAGCGCACAGGCATGTGGGGTGAGATGGACTTTCGTGTCTAAAGTTTTTAAAAGAAAAGAGATGGCCATACTTCATTTAATAAGTATCATGAAATTGTGTGGAATTGACACTATGGTATAAAAACCATCAGCTAACCAAATGATCATGTAAACAGCTAAAAAATCCTGCACACTATTCATACCTCATTGTTCTCATTTCTCTTTTCTTCTTTGTTCATTGAAATCATAGACACACTGCTTAGACTTGTTAACATTGACCGTGCTGGAATTTGGAGAACCACATTTCAGGTAGTCCAGGAACCAATCAATCAAATCGGGAAGTTATTTTTGTGTTCTAATTATCCTCAGCACAATGACACCACAGCTTCAAAGGTCAGGTGACCCTGTGGGCTACTTTACTTTAAGCTTCCCTACCAGCATGTTAGCACATCATGCCTATGTTTTTCCTGTGTAAGACAGTAATTAGGAAATAAATCAGACATAAGACATCTTTCCAACTGCTGTTGCTGGATTCTGTGGTCTCCACAGCCTATGAAAAGTGATCCAAGGAAGAGAAACAGACAATCCACCCGGTTGTTGCATGATGCATTATGCAACAAAGATAGGATTTTTACACCAATCTTTCTAATATAGCTTATATATCACCAAAATGTCATTAACCAAATACCCCTTCATAAAAATATTATTGCTTGACAGTTTGAGCTTTAGCAGAATATCATCTTTTGCCATTTCTGTTATGTTTTTGAAGAGGGAACAATAAACAAGTTTTAGTTATTGACATTGCCTTCAACTTTTTCTGATTTTAACTAAAGAAAACATCCTTTCTAACAAATCAGTTTGATTCATTATGTTTTTGCATCTAGGTCTATAGGACTTGTATCTGTTGCTGTGGGTTACACCCAAGATACAATGAAATGTCTGAAGGAGTCAGTTCCCTGGATAGTTAAGCTTCTTGCTGCATAAAAAATATATATTTTATGTTTTCTTCACCCAACAACAGGTAGTGGCAGTATTGAAATTCCTGTCCTTTGCATGCTTATCTCAGGAGAAACCAGAATGTTGGAGGTGAGGAAACTCATTCATGAATTCAGCACTGCATTTTGTACTGCAAATGATTGTTTCTAAAGGTTTGTTTTTTCAAACATGTGACCTGGAACATTTTTGTCAAAAACCTAAGTTACCAGAACCTTCCACTGTCCTGTGAGTTGTACCCATTTAGATGGTCTTATGAGGGTTACAGCTTTAGAGCTAAGAAAAGGTATTTCATATTTTGCCAAATATGTAATTGTAATAGATTTTAAATAAGTCACGTAGATCTCAACTTCTGTGAGAATGCCTGAAAGTGGAAAAGAGTTTTATTATACTTAATAACTAGAGATGCTCCGATGAGGTTTTTTGCTGCTGATTCTGATACCGATCACCCATGAGGCCGATCTCTGCTGATCACCTGGATTGGCTGTTAATTTTTCGCTTTAGATATAAATGCTGCTATGTGATCTGGCAAAATGGAAAAATGATCTGGCAGTAAATTCATCTAATTTAGACATAAACATGCAAAATACTTGCTGGCACAGTACAGCAGCTATTCAGTCAAAAGGACAACTGAAAAACCTGCAATGAGTAAAATAATATTTAGCAGTACGGCTCTCATACCATAAATTATACATAAGTCAAATTAATCAGATCATACACTTTTTCACAGAAATCGGCCAATCGATCGGCACACCTCAATAATAACTTATGAGGTTATTATTGGAAAGGTACAGCAATAACAATGGAATAAATCATCAAGACATGTTCTTTTACTTTTAATCTGGACTACAAACACAGGAAGGACAAACTTTGTCCTAGAATATATTTTCACAAACTCCAATGTGTTTGGCCCACGGGGGATTGTTCCATGCACAGCCATCTTTCATCTTTCTGAGCACATTGCATTTCTCATCATTGAGACTTCAGGCCACACTCTGCAGCTATCAGCAATAGAGGAGGTCACCACAGACAAAAACTACACAAAAAAGTCTGTGTCCTATGGATGCTAGGAATAGAAAGTACATAAATGACTGGGTATACAATGGCTGCAAACCCAGGGTACTGAAAGTGGCACTAAAAACTGATAGGAAGAAAATGTCATCTTATTCTACTTTCAGATGAAAATTGTTTTTGTCCCACCTGTCCTTAAAAAAGTGAGAGAACATGGGAGTCTGCATTGACAAAATGCCTTTGAAACTTGATCCAGCTACACCGGTCCATGACTATTTTAGAATCTCTACATAAGTTATATTAACTGGAGTGGGCAAAGCTAAATTGAATATCTCTGGTCTGAGCAGGAATTTTTAAAACTTTTATGAGACCTTCATTATGGGAAAACATAAAATTTTCATTTCTAATTTACCTCTAAAACACACAAGCAAAAAACAAACAATATATGGACCAGTTAAACCTGGACCAGACTAGTCAGCAACAATAGCAGTCTTTGAAAGAAGGATTGTTTCTTTTAATTAACACTTAGAAGGGTTGATTAAAATTCCCTAAGTCTTTGAGATTTTTTAGATTTCCCAGAAATATTAAAATCTTGTCTCACTGTTATAACACTAATTAACAATAATCTAGCCCCCTCAAGAGAGCCTGGGTAAGGGTTAAGCTTTATTCTTCAAAGTATCATAAGATGTCTGCTGTCAAAGATTGTTTTGGGGATTATAACACTTTTACTGAAAATGTTTGACAATACTTTGATTATGCTAGTCCTGCTTGTTCTCTGTTACACTCCTGAATTTGCAGTACGCTGTTGTAGTAATTTGATGTGTGTTTTTTCATTAACTGGCTCAGAGAATAGACACATCCCTCAAAAAATCAACGCCCTGGTTGGTTCTTGCTGGTTCTGGTAAGGCAGCAGATTTCATCACAGCAGTGGTCCTCAGCCCTACCCCTCCTGCAGCAGATGGGGAGGCTGACAAGAGTGTCAGCGCAGAGTTCTGTGACTGGGTTCGTGAGAAGGCCCGGAAACACTTCCCAGCTGAGGTCGAGTTTGAAAAACTGGTCGATACTGTAAGTTCCTAGATACTAGATACCAGCCATAGAAACCATGCTTTCTAAGAAAACATGTGTTTAATAAAGATTAGTTAAGGGCTTTGTTCAAGTTTTTCATGGACATGTGACAACAAATTTCTTCCACTCCTAAATGAGTCATAGTTTCTTATTCTCCCTTGTCCTGTTTGCCTCACCTGTAATTAACAATTGCATTTGTGACAACACCCATGCTTTCTTAGAAACACATGTTTCTAAGAAACATGTGTTTTCTAAGAAAACACATGTTTTCTTAGAAAGGATGTCTTTTCTTAGAAAGCATGGGTGTTGTCACAAATGCAATTGTTAATTATAGGTGAGGCAAACAGGACAAGGGAGAATAAGAAACTATGACTCATTTAGGAGTGGAAGAAATTGTTGTCACATGTCCATGAAAAACTTGAACAAAGCCCTTAACTAATCTTTATTTGCTTTGACATTTCTATTTATTTTTGTCATGAGGGACTGTTGCCATTTCGGGTTCTCCCAATTTCCCAATTTCCTTTGTGTAGCTGAATTCAATTCATATCAATATCAATCAATATCAGTATCAATTCAATGATATCCTAAGCCTCAGGAATCTTTTGCAGGTGTTTAGAGTTACTTTGTTGATTCAGATGATGAGGTTACTTCCTTGTTTAGAGAACCTTTTCATGATATGCTAATTTTTTGAGATAGGAATTTTGGGTTTTCATGAGCTGTATGCCAAAATTATCAGTATTAAAACAATAAAACACCAGAAATATTTCAGTTGGTGTGAAATGAATCTAAAATATATGACAGTTTAATTTTTATCATTACATTATGGAAAATAATGAACTTTATCACAATATGCTAATTTTTTGAGAAGGACCTGCACTCCTAAATGATTAGGTGATAGATCACAGGTGAGACCAATCAGCATGCACGCCCTCCAGGTGTTGCAGCCTCTAGGCACCATCTAGTGCAGTGTTTCTCCACCCTGGTCCTCACTGCCCCCCCGTCCTGCATGTTCTAGGTGTTTCCCTTCTGCCACACACCTGAATTGTATCTCTGGGTGATTAACAGGCTTCTGTAGTACTTGATGATCATTCAATCATTTGAATCAGCTGTTCTGGAATAGAGGCACATCTAAAACATGCAGAGCAGGGGGGGCTGAGGACCAGGGTTGAGAAACACTGATCTAGTGGATGAAGAGGGAAGCAGCAAGCAACAGAAAATCCTCAATAAAGAGCCAAAACCCCGGTTCCCAACACGTACAGGTCCTTCTAAAAAAATTAGCATATTGTGATAAAGTTCATTATTTTCCATAATGTAATGATAAAAATTAAACTGTCATATATTTTAGATTCATTGCACACCAACTGAAATATTTCTGGTCTTTTATTGTTTTAATACTGATGATTTTTGGTATACAGCTCATGAAAACCCAAAATCCCTGTCTCAAAAAATTAGAATATTATGAAAAGGTTCTCTGAACGAGCAATTAACCTCATCATCTGAATCAACAAAGTAACTCTAAACACCTGCCAAAGATGCCCAAGACTTTTAAAAACTCCCAGCCTGGTTCATTACTCAAAACCGCAATCATGGGTCAGACTGCTGACCTGACTGCTGTCCAGAAGGCCATCACTGACATCCTCAAGCAAGAGGGTGAGAAACAGAAATTTCTGAACGAATCGGCTGTTTGCAGAGTGTTTTATCAAGGCACCTCAGTGAGAAGTCAGTAGGAAGGAAAAAGTGTGGCAGAAAACGCTGCACAACGAGAAGAGGTGACTGGACCCTGAGGAAGATTGTGGAGAAGGGCCGATTCCAGACCTTGGGGGAAGCAGTGGACTGAGTCTGGAGTAGAAACATCCAGAGCACAGGCGTGTGCAGGAAATCGGCTACAGGTGCCGCATTCCCCAGGTCAAAGGTCAAGCCACTTTTGAACCAGAAACAGCAGCAGAAGCGTCTGACCTGGGCTACAGAGAAGCAGCACTTTGGACCACTGTTGTTCAGTGGTCCAAAGAATTTTTTTCGGATGAAAGCAAACTTTGCATGTCATTCGGAAATCAAAGTGCCAGACTCTGGAGGAAGACTGGGGAGAAGGAAATGCCAGAAGTCCAGTGTCAAGTACCCACAGTCAGTGATGGTCTGGGAGCCATGTCAGCTGCTGGTGTTGATCCACTGTTTTTTATCAAGGGCAGGATCAATGCAGCAGCTATCAGGAGATTCTGGAGCACTTCATGCTTCCATCTGCTGAAAAACTTTATGGAGATGAAGATTTCATTTTTCAGCACGACCTGGCACCTGCTCACAGTGCCAAAACCACTGACCATGGTGTTACTGTGCTCAATTGGCCTGCCAACTCTCCTGACCTGAACCTCATAGAGAATCTGTGGGATATTGTGAAGAGAAAGTTGAGACACGCAAGACCCAACACTCTGGATGAGCTTAAAGCCGCTATCGGAACATCCTGGGCCTCCATAACACCTCAGCAGTGCCACAGGCTGATTGCCTCCACGCCGCATTGAAGGCTGCAAAAGGATTCCTGAACAAGTTATGTTGAATGCATAACTTAACATAATTATTTGAAGGTTAACTTTTTTGGTATTAAAACACTTTTCTTTTATTGGTCGGATGAAATATGCTAATTTTTTGAGATAGGAATTTTGGGTTTTCATGAGCTGTATGCCAAAATCATCAGTATTAAAACAATAAAAAACGTGAAATATTTCAATTGGTGTGCAATGAATCTACATTATGGAAAATAATGAACTTTATCACAATATGCAAATTCTTCGAGAAGGACCTGTATTTAGTAAATTAGAATGAGTTCCGAATAGTCTTGTATGTCAGATTAAAAGTACTTTTTGAAAATAAGCTTTAAGCAGACATTAAATATATATTTTTTTTACTGTTAATATATTATTCTAATCTTAAATGCCATATTTTCATTAGCTGTAACCAGGAAATCATGATTAACACAAATAAAAGCTTTAAAACACCTGTGTATGTAATTAATCTATAATGGTTTTGTGAGCTGAAATACTGAAATACATTAACTTTTCATTAATATTCTTGCTGATTGAAAATGAGTGTAGATGGAAAAAAACATACACCTCTGCATTAGCTTACCGTGCAGTATCTGAACAATTGGAAACAAACAGTGAGGTAATTCTGGATCGTTTCCCATGTAAAAAGAACAGCACAATGGGAGAGAGCCAAGCACAACTTCCGAAGGACCTGTGTTTGTGCTCTCAACATTTCTCTCCAGAAGACTTTAAGTCATTTGTATAAGCATAACTGACGAAGGCTCTACAATACCTTCAGAAGCTATAAACAAATGATATTCCGACAGTTTTTATCCACAAAGCACCTAAACCCCCTGCCACCAGCTAGATGGCGAAAAACACTGGGAGAAACATCAAAGACAGGCAGCGCTGAAGGCTTCTTTAAACGCTAACTGAATGTGAAACCACTGATCCGATGCTGCACTGAAAACGAGACTCTAAATACAATTTATCGGACTGGACACAGAGCTACAGATACTGGGAGAAACATCAAAGACAGGCAGTGCTGGAAGCTCTTTTAAGTACTAACATAGCTCAGCGGCAGCACTACTGCCACCCCCGTTTATGTCTGGAGGAAGACTGGACTCTAAACAGCTGTTACCGGACTGAACACAGAGCTATAGAACTACTTACCCGGATCATGCAGTCTGATCAGAGGTATGCATCATTCATTGTTTCATTAATGAAGCTAAGATTCAACCGACGGTCGCGTCAACACTGGAACCCTCAAAGGTCATCCAGAGGCCTGGCACGCGGCCATAGGGAACCTTTGGCAGGCTCAGGGATGCTGGAAGGCTCTTAGAGAAGCCGTGGGGCTGGTGGCGGTGGGGCTTGGAGGAGAAGCCATGGGGCTGGCTGTGGTAAAGCTTGGACAATCCATGGAAGCGGAACCAGGGGCGGCAATCTGAGTTGTCAAAGATCCAGAACTGGAGGCGGCGCAGAGCTGACTTCAATGGCAGCATCCCAGAGCTTGGCCAACCCTCGTAGACAGAATGCGGGGTGTTGGTACTAGTAACCTCCTGGTAGAGGAAATGCAAAGTGTTGACCACTCATATCCACAGAGGTAGGCTTCCAAAGCAAGAATGGGCTCCTGACTCTCGCAGTGACTTCGTGCAGCGTTGGGAGCACACCACACAGAAGTGCACCAAATATGCCTACCTCTCCAATCCCAGGGTCTTCTGTCTTCTTCTGAAGAAACCACGAATCTCATCTTCTTTGGCTGAATCCTTCTGTCATGAAGTGGGTTATTGTTGATGAGGACTGAATGGCGATCAGACCCAGGAGTAAAGTGGAGAAAATAAGCTTAATGATGTCCAAAGCTGTATACAACACCAGGATCCACAGGTAAGGAACGAGACACGGTCACAAATTCAGGTAAGCTAACAGTGACAAGCTATGGACAAACTATGACATGAGAATGACTAGGATCCAGTGGGGAACAGAAGACGTAAAGTCTTAGAGAGATAGCTTTAATCAATCAGGGGCTTGACACGACAACACAGGGGCTAAATTGCCCCTTTTCCACCGGCTCTACTTCAGAGTGACCACGTTTCCCCCGCCCCGGCTTGGCTCTGTAGCAGGGTGATGCCTCCTGTCTGTCGGAGATATAGCGCCCCACCTCCAGGCGCCATGTGCTATTCTTTGTTACCATGGGATCTAACGCGAGTTGTTGTTTTTCTGAGACAAAAGAATAAGAGAAAGCTGAGCTATTGTTTTGTAGCCTGATTGAGATTTTTCTGAGACTTCAAGAAAATGCACAGTAGGAGGAAAGATGCGATTGTGACGAGGAGGACAGTTGATCTCACGTGAACAACAGCAAAATGAGAAACAATCGAAGCACAATTCACGCAACAATAAAACATAAAAAACAAATGAAGGGCTACATGCTGTACAATATTGACAGTTATTTATAACTGAGGAATGTGCAACTGAGTATCAACAGAAAATGTCCATGTTTTGTTTGAGCAATAAAATAAAATACATTCACAGAAAACCCACATCCTCACATCATCACTGTTTCTGACCAAGCAGACATCCCTTACGCAGAATGCATTGCAGCTTGAACAACATGGCGACATTCATGTGACGATATTTTATTAAAATGTATAAAAACAATCTAAAATAAATATTTCTCAAATAAAGTCTATTGTTACATGATTCCTTTAAAGAAAAGGAAAAACAAAGTACGTATAGTCCCCTCCAAAATTATTGGAACCGCAAGCTATTTGCTTTGTTATTGTACATTGAAGACATTTGAGTTTAACATCAAAACATGAGCATGACTCCGGAGTTCAGAATGTCAGCTTTTATTTCCTGGTTTTTACATGTGGATGTTCTAAACAACTCAGGACATACCACCCTCTGTGTGAATGTTAAACCCAAATGAAGACATTTGGGTGTACAACAAAAACGAAGCATGAGAACATTATTGCCTTGCTGTTCCAATACCTTTGGAGGGGACTGTATATTTGTGCTTTTATTTTTAATTATATCAATTTTGGTCCTCTATAGTTTCAGTGCTTTGCAGGGTCATAATTTCTGTTCCCTCAACCTTTTAAAATTACAAACCTAAATTTTAAAATATAGGTGTACAATTGATTTTGTATTCAGTTATAAGTTTTGTTTGTTTGTTTTTTTGCCATAAGACGGTAATATTAACTGATGATTGATGGTGTGCCTATTGGGTTAGCTGAATGCATAGGCATTAATGATAAAGTATTACATTGTTTCAAACAATGATTGTTTGTCATTTATGTTTGTTTGTCCAGGCTTTGAGTATTTATCAGAGGAGAGATCTCATTACTGTTTTTCATGGAGAACAGGAGGGCTCTGATGACTTCGACACAATTCTCCTCAAAGCCCTGGTGAGAGGTAAGTGATGGGGGATCATTCAGGGGATTGTTTATCAATCACAACACCATCCCTTACAAAAGCAAAATATATTTGGAAATCCATTGTAATAAATTTGAATGTATTATTTCCCCTTTTACATTTCTAATATATGTGGTAAATATATTCAATTATATATTGAAGATTCATGTATTATAAAGTCAAAGAAT